TATTCTGCCCCAATACCTGATGACAGAATCTGTGAGCATAATAAAATGGTGCTTGCTTTATACGACTCTGCTTTGGGTTGGTTTGTAAATACCACTCTTCTGGCTTTCCTCCTACCTCACTGTCTACTTCCTAGTCTACTGGTTCCTCCCTAATCTCCCTGAATGTTAGAATATCCTCTCAGTATGTGGACTTCTGTTCCTGGGCATACTCCTTTAGCCACCTCACACAGATCCATGGCTTTACATACCACACTGATGACCCCTAAATTTATATCTTCAGCTGGACCTCTCCCCTGAACTTCAGAACTACTATATTCACCTGTTTGACATTCTTACTTGGTTTCCAACTAGTATCTAAAACTGAACAAAAACAAAATTGGTCTTTTCCTCCAAACCTGCTTTTTCCAGTTGGCTCTATCTCAGCCTTGTAGTCATTAAGGTCTCTTTGCCTAGACATTCACATGGCTCACTTCCTGGCCCCTTCAGGTTTCCACTAAAACTCCTGGTGAGGCCTTCCTTGACATCCTATTTGAAGTAGTAACCCCACTTCCATCCTTCCCATTCCCTATGTGCCCAACCGAGCTTTGATTTTCTCCATAGCCCTTCTCTCCACCTGATCTGCTATATCTTTTACTAATTTGCTTCTCTCTCTCTACTAGAATGTAAGTGCCACAAAGGTGAGGGTCTTGCCTATTATTTTCATGCTGTAGTCTCATGCCCAAACAATGTGTAATGTCTTTGGCCCTCAATAATTATTTAATTATTGAATGAATAATCAAATGAGTTCAGGGAGCAGAGATGAGATCAAGAACACAAGTAGTGTTGGCCTCAAAAGTAGGTATAATACACCTCCTCTTTTAGGGAAGAGAGAAAAGAAAGTCCACTGGCTATGAACATCTAAACAAAGTAGTAACAGTAGTACATATCACATATGGGGCTTCCTCTGTGCTCTGCCCAGTTCTAAGCACTTTACACATATTAACTGGGCTAATCCTCTCAAGAGTCTATAGGTAGGTTCTATTATCAGCATTTCTATAGATGAGGAAACTGAAGCAGAGTGAGATAAGTAACTTGTCCAAGGGCCAAGTGGCAGAGCTGGGATAAAAACCCAAGATACAGGACTTAGGGCTCTATCACCTTAACCTCCACACCAAACTACCTCTTGAAGGTTCTTTGCTGGAAGTGATACAGGACTGGTGGGATACAGAACATGAGAGGAGTTGAGAAGATTTGCAATAGCTATTGGGAGTTCAGTAGGGGCATCCAAGAGGGGGGGATAAATGAAAGGATTGTTGAGCAGCAGTGAAGGCCTAGACACAACTAAACAACGTGGCTCTGTGGTAGACTCCATTAATTGGTTAGTTCACTTGACTTTCTGTGGTAACAGCAGTAAAGAAACACAGTTGAGTTCAGCCAAGTTTGTGGGTTGATGGGGCAGGTAGAGCAGAGAGATCAAGAAAGTAAGCTAAGATAAAAACACATTTGTTTACCCAAAGGATAAAACAATACAGATTCAAAGGGGTACATGCACCCCAATGTTTATAGCAGCATTATCAACAATAGTCAAACTATGGAAAGAGCCCAAATGTCCATCAACTGATGTGGCATATATATACAGTGGAATATTACTCAGCCATCAAAAAGAATGGAATCTTGCCATTTGCAACGATGTAGAGGGAGCTAGTGTATTATGCTGAGAGAAATAAGTCAGTCAGAGAAAGACAAATACCATATGATTTCACTCATATGTGGACTTCAAGAAGCAAAACAGATGAGCATATGGGAAGAGAAAAAAAGAGAGAGAGAAGGAAGCAAACCATAAGAGACTCTTAACAATAGAGAACTGAGGGTTGGTGGAAGGAGGGTGGAGGGAGCTTGGATAGATGGGTGATGGGTATTAAGAAGGGCACTTGTTATGATGAGCGCTGGGTGTTATATGTAAGTAACAAATCACTAAATTCTACTCCTGAAATCAATATTACACTATATGTCAACTGACTAGAATTTAAATAAAAACTTGAAAAGAAAAAAAACACATTTGAAGTAGTTGAGTAGGGAACCTAGGAGCAAGTTAATGAATTATTAGAATAAACTCAGGGACCCAGGAACTAGAGGTCATGATGACAAGGATGAGGATTCAGGAGGAATATAATATAGGGAAGCATGTTCGAAATCTGGGAAATGGAGTTAGGGAATTATCCAGTGATAGGGCCTGTCTTAGGCAGAACAGGGGCTGAAATCATCTCCTACCCTTCCTAAACCCAGACTATCTATGTTGATGCTTCAAACGCCCACAAGCCAAGACAAGGCTCTTCACCCCACAAAATTGGGAAGGCTTAAAAAATACAACAGCCCCATGGGAGATAAGTCAGTGACTCGTGTTGAGTCCTTGAGTTTTTAGGTTCCTCCTCTAGAACTGTTTTGGACATTAAGAGCCCTTCTAGGCATTAAGTTGGGAAGAAACGGTCACTGAAGGAGAAGGTGGCCAATCACCTGTCAGGTCTGCTTATTGTAGCCCTGGGTGGGATTTTTGGAAAGTAGCAACTAATCTATATCAACCAAATATTTTCTCTAATAACCCATTCAAATAAAATGCTTTTGTAGATGTTCTCACAACATGTTACTTGTTCACTGCTACTGGAAAATTCTGACATAAGCCTGTAAGAGTCAGTGTGCTTGTTTTTACTTGATTACCTACCAAATTCCTCATATTTATTACCGCCAAGGGCAGGAAGATCAATTACTTTAGTCACAGCAAGAGAAGCTAAGGGCAAATCATCTTTAAAAGTTACAAAAAATGATGGGCGAATAGATAAACACAATGTGGTCTATACATACCATGGAATATTAGCCTTAAAAATGAAGGAAATTCTGACTCCTGCCATAGCACAGATGAACCTTGAAGATATTATACCCAGTGAGATAAGTCAGACCCAAAAGGATTAATATTGTGTGATTCCAGGTATATGAAATATCTAGAATAGTCAAATTCATAGAGACAGAAAGTAAAATGGTGGTTACCAGGGGCCAAAAAGAGGGAGAATGGGGAGTCAGTGTTTAATGGGTATAGAGTTTCAGTTTAGAGTGATAAAAACATTCTGAAGATGGTTACTGATGATGGTCACACAACAATGTGAACGTACTTGATGTCACTGAACTGTACACTTAAAAAAATAGTTAAATGGTAGGGGCGCCTGGGTGGCTCAGTTGGTTAAGCGACTGCCTTCGGCTCAGGTCATGATCCTGGAGTCCCGGGATCGAGTCCCGCATCGGGCTCCCTGCTCGGCGAGGAGCCTGCTTCTCCCTCTGACCCTCCCCCCTCTCATGTACTCTCTCTCATTCTCGCTCTCTCAAATAAATAAATAAATCTTTAAAAAAAAAATAGTTAAATGGTAAATTTTCTGTTATGTATCTTTTACGACGATAAAACAGTTATGAAGAATGGAGGAAGATGGCAGGTGGAAATCTATCGCCAAGGAGAAAGCATATGTCTCTGACAGTTTCAGTACAAACAGATCTGTAAAGAGAAGCAGGGTGGCTGAGATGGACAAAGTGATCTTTAAGGGTCCCCCAGTTGACACCACAGGGTGAGTTTCCCAGATGAGCTGTTGGTAGCTAGCTGCTGCAGAGGCTGTAGCTTTCGCCTGCCCCTGCTTCCAGTGGGGGACGTGTTTCTAAAATGCTGTCAGTGAGGGCGCCTGGGTGGCTCAGTTGGTTAAGCAACTGCCTTCAGCTCAGGTCATGGTCCCGGAGTCCTGGGATCGAGTCCCACATCGGGCTCCAGGCTCAGCGGGGAGCCTGCTTCTCCCTCTGACCCTCTCTCCTCTCATGCTGTTTCTCTCTCTCTCTCTCAAATAAATAAATAAATAAAATCTTTAAAAAAAAAAATAATAAATAAATAAATAAAATGCTGTCAGTGCTCCTTTGAGGCACAGATACTTCGACCGTCAGAAGCCTTGCCTGATTCTTTGTAGCCCAGACTGCCAAAAGGTATCTGGCCCCTAGAAGGTATTTAATACACAGCTACAGAGCAGAGATGAAAGTTTGATTTGGTTTATAAAATGGAGAATAGGTAATGGCTTTTTCAGAGCATTATATTTGATTAGAATGAAATGATACTATGTAAAAACACTGATACAAAGATAAGGCAATATTCTTAATACAAACAGGACAAAGAAGTCTTGAAAATTTCCCTGAAGTTCAGTTTATTTGCCATGATCTAATTTCTTGGTGAGTGGGAGGTAATTTCCCTTGAAGACACAGAAAGCTCTGATTTACCTTTTTCTTCTTTGTCATCTTGGAAAGCATGGGGGATGGGGCTTTTTGCCTATCAGGATACTATTCTGGAGGATATGGGTTTATTTGGAATAAAAATACAGTAGAAAAAAATAGTTATTTGCTTCTCTTAACAGCTTTTCTGGCTCCAAAACCTCTCCAGTTTTAGATGGATTTGCTATGCAGGAGGAAATCTAAGGTAAGGCATTACGAGTCTCACAGTTCTTCCCTGATAGGTCACATCCTGCTAACCTAGTCATATTTGACAATAATTTTAATTATCCAAGAAATTTTATTATCCAAGTTTTATATATCTGCTTCCTATAGATGAGTATCATTTTAACCTATGATACACTGAGAACAGATAAGAATTGTATCTTGCATTTATGATTTAAGACACTATATTAAAATATTAAAATTAAGACTTGTGTTTATGTGACTATAAAGAAAATTAGATGGATATTTATAAAAACTGTTATTTTAGGAAAAGATTTAGAGTTAGAAGCCCTTTCCAACTCCTTTGTAAACTGGGGAACATATAATTACTTTAGGAAGAATTCAGTTTTTTCCCAATTGCTCTCCAGATGATGTCAAAGGCAAAACATCCAGAGATCTTGACTTTTACCACCTCAGATTTTAGATGGGTTGCTTTTCAGAATTTTCCTAATCAACATCATATGAAATCCTCTAGCTGATAAAAGGCCAAACATTTACATTCTTCTCAAGAGTTGAATGAATTTTTATGTATTAACACAGATGGTATTCCAGTATTTATCATACCGAACAGGAAGGAATTCATTTTCATCATCCATGTACCATACAAACGTGAAGTTAAAATAGAATTTTCATCGATGGTCAACACAGTAGATTCCATGTTATGATTAATTCCAAGGATACAAATTTCTACATCTTCAGTGGAAAGCATACTCTTCAGTCATAACAACACTCTCAAAGAGCTCTCAGTTTGTCTTTCTCTTGCTCCTTTTGACTGCAAAGGGTAAAGGATTCCTGAACAAACTGCCTGCACATGGGGCACTGCTGGAAATACCGAACACAGCCGTCACACAAGCATGCGTGTCGACAGGGCAGGAGCACCCAGTTCACAGTTCCGTTCTGGCAAACCACACAGTCCTTGCTGTTCTCCTCCGGAGGCTCCGCTTCACTCTCGGACAGCCCGGCCTTTTCCAGCAGACTGCGCTCTCTGCTTTGTTCTTCTGGAGAGGAATTGTTGGAGGGAGTGGAATTATTATTTGCAGACATGAAAAGTTGCTGAAAATCAAAAAGAAAAGGTTAAGGATAATCAAAAATGACAATTACTCTTTTTTTTTTTTTAAAGATTTTATTTATTTATTTGAGAGAGAGGGAGAGGGAGAGAGTGGGGGAGGGAAGCAGACTCTGTGCTGAGTGTGGAGACTGATGCGGGCCCAATCCCACGACCCAAGATCATGACCTGAGCCGAAATCAAGAGTCAGACACCCAACCGACTAAGCCACCCAGGCACCCCGACAATTACTCTTTAAATCTGGGAGTCATAAAAGCTGCTAAAAATTTGTGAGCGAACAAACCCAATAGCAAATAATAGCTACCTTCTGCGATAACTAACTGAAAAATATTATCTCTTTATAGATGGTCATTCTTTGAAACTCTGCAAATAAAAGGATCAGAAATAAGACAACAGGGTACTTACCTTAAGATCATGAAATTGACCTTGAGCCAGGAGTAAATATTGATACAATATTCTACAGGAAAGTTTATAAGTCTTATCAGGAATATGAATTACTGACACCATGGAAATCTAAAATAAAAATTGAATACCAGTCAGTAATTAACCTCCTTACATTATTTCACAGGTATGTGAAATAAAAGAAAAATAAAAGGTTGATAAATCAGAAAACTTACAATAATTGATTTAAATCATCGTCACTAAAGAGGAACCAGTTACGGAACATATTTTTGCCAGAGTTACTTTTAATTATATGCAAAGTTACAAATTTAATGCGATCACAACAAAAATACCAATGAGTTTTTTCATAGAGTTATATGAGTTGACTCTAAAATTCTCATGTGGAAAAATAACACGTAAGAATAGCTAGGAAAATACTGGAAAAAAGCGGTGGGGAGGATCAAGCCCAGTCAGATATTCAGACATAGTACAAAGTCTCTAAAATTAAAGTAGTACAGGCACATGAACAGACAGGTGGCTAGAACAGAACAAACAGTCCAGAAACAGACCCAGCTATCTATACAAATATGACAAAGGTGCCATCTGAAATCACTGGGCAGACTTTTTAATAAAAAGTATTGGGACAACTGGATAGCTATTTGGAAAAATATAAAATTAGATGCCTTCCTCAAACCATACGTAAGAATAAACTCCAAAAGCATAAGAAACTTAATTATAAAAAATAAAACCATGCAAGCACTAGAAGAAAACATGTGAATTCCTTTTTACTCTTGGCATAGGGAAAGACTTTTTTTTTTAAAGATTTTATTTATTTGAGAGAGAGAATGAGATAGAGAGAGAGCATGAGAGGGGGAGGGTCAGAGGGAGAAGCAGACTCCCTGCTGAGCAGGCAGCCTGATGCGGGACTCGATCCCGGGACTCCAGGATCATGACCTGAGCTGAAGGCAGTCGCTTAACCAACTGAGCCACCCAGGCGCCCCGGGAAAGACTTTCTAACTATGACTCAAACCCGGAGGCAGATGCATTTGACTGTATAAAAATTTAAAGCTTGTATGACAAAAAGCCCCATTGGCAAAGTCAAAAGACATGTGATGAACTGGAATAAAATATTCACAATATCCCTAATTTATGAAAAACTTTTCAATATTGAAAAAAAGTAACCAAAAATCCTATTAAAAAATGGGCAAAAGATATGAACAGACAATTCACACAAAATTATAAACATCGTCCTTAGCCATGTTAATAGATGTTCAATTTCACTCACAAGTTAATAAATACAAATTAAAACTTCATTGAGATATCACTTCGCACTATTGGACTAATAGCTTTCAAACGTTTATCAGTATAGTCTATGGAGAAATGGTCACTTTCATATATTGCTGGTGGAAATGTATAAAAAAGAAAAAAGGGTACAACTCCAAGGATATAACCCCAATGGAGGGGAATTTGATAATAGGTATCAAAATGACATACCTTTACCCTGCAACCATACAACCGCACCAATATGAAAATACATATGCATAGGTTATTCAGTGCAAAATTATTTGTTACTGCAGAATACTGGAAATTACCTGAATGTCCAGCCACAGGAGACTGACTAAATAACTATGGTACCTATACATCCTACATACCATCGAATGCTACACAGTCATTGAAAAACAATGTGAGGAAGAGCTCTATGAACTGATCTGGAGTGATTTCCAGAGATATTATGAAGTGAAAAAAACAGGAACATGTATAGTATATAAAGTGTGATACCTTTTGAGTAAGAAAGAAGAGAAAATAAGAAATATATACATCTCTATCTTCTCATCATTACAATAAGATGTTGGAAGGATAAACCAGAAAACAATAAACTTGGTTATCTACAAGAATTGGGGTGTATAAGAATGGGGGGCACCTGGCCAGGGTGGAGCATGCAACTCTTGATCTCAGGGTTGTGAGTCTGACCCTCATGTTGGGTGTGGAGATTACTTAAAACTGTTAAAAAAAAAAAAAAAGGCGTTGTGGGAGGAGATGAGAGCAACATCTGAATATACTTCCTCTTTATGCGTTTTTCTGACTTTTAGGAGAACTAATCCAAGTAATTTATGAACACAGAATTTGACTATAAACTCTGGGGCAGAAAATAAGGAGAGGGCAGTTGGGCACCAAAATAATTAAATTCAGTAATGAATTATAAATCACTGGGGGGAAAATGGAATTCGTGAGGCCATATGGATAATAAACAAAGAAATAAATGGGAGGTCTATTGCTTATAGTAGAATACTGAAGACTGGCTGAAGGGCTGGAATTGGAAAATAATCATTTTGCAACCAACATGGTAAAAATAAAATCTGTTAAGAATTATCAATGGCTATTAAATCCAGGGGGGCAAATTTTCATAAAGACTGGGATTTTGCGTGGTCTTAAAAGTGTCCCCCACACGGGGCGCCTGGCTGGCTCAGTCAGTTAAGCGTCTGCCTTCGGCTCAGGTCATGATCCCCGGGTCCTGGGATCGAGCCCCACATTGGGCTCCCTGCTCAGTGGGGAGCCTGCCTCTCCCTCTCCTCCCAGCTCGTTTCTCTCTCTAGCTATCTCTGTCTCTCTCTCTCTCTCAAGTAAATA